CTCCCCGCTACGTGGCCGCCGCCGGAGGGGGAGGCGCGGGCTGGTGGCGCAGTGCCCTTGAGCCCCCGCCACCGCCGCCGCCTTTGTTTCTCCCCGCGGAGGCGCTGACCACGAGGCCCGCGCTCCCGAGTGGGGGGCGGGCTCCCCGCCTTGGTCTGTCGACGCGGGAATGGAGCAGGGAAGGGGCCCTCTTCGAAGGGGAGCAGGCATGGAGGATTCAGTTCCTTCTGGCTTTGTCAGGACCGTGCTTCAGAGGCCGGAGGCAGGAGAATTCCTGGAGTGGAGGCCCGGACTGGGCTATAGAATGATACCCACCCCCTTAAAAATTTTTTAAAAAGGCCAGGAAATAGGACTGAAGCATCTTAGTGTTTTCCTTTTACTTCGTGATTGAAGAGGGAGGGCTTCTGAAAAACATCAGGTTGCATTTATCTAGGAGCTCCTTGGACTATTCAGAAGTCCAGAGGAAAAAAATTAGGGTAATTTACCGATAAAAATTAAGTAATGATGCCTGATTTTGAAACAGAAGCTTGCCTTTCATACAAAATAAAAAGAATGTCACAAATGAGATTTAAATTGGAAAGGTAATTCTGTTATCACCAAGTAAAGTGGCCTGAGGTACTAGTCCTTGGTAAGGTTACCTTTAGCAATTGGTTAAAGCACTGATATACTCAAGTAGGGAACACTAACAACAAACTCAGAAGCGTTTTCGCTGCATTTTTATCTGAAATGTGCAGGTTAAATCCCACACAAAACTTGTAGCTGCCATTTGTGTGTCATGAAAATTTAACTCATGCATTTTTTTCTTGCAATAGTTCTTCAAGTCTTCGATTTTAAAAAAAAATGGCCTCCAATAAAACTACATTGGTAAGTTCGTAAAACCCTAAAACATGTAAGAATCTTAACTGAAGAATTTTTTTGTTCTTAAATTACAACTAAGAAGCCTTTAAAGGTAGTGTGGCACACGCCTTTAATCTGAGCAAACTGAAGGCAGAGGCAGGCAGATCTCTGAGTTGGAGGCCAAATCTGGTCTACAGAGTGAGTTCTAGGACAGCCAGGGTACTTTCCAGTACTCTGAAAAAAACCTAAATTGTTGATTTTGAGATATTCTTACTGGCTTTCCATAGGGAGGGTCACAGTGCAGCTTTTAAAACCTGATCTTAAGAGGATTACATAGTAAAACTTTAACTGAGTGTTTTTATTTTGAGATAAAAATGCATATTTGGGCCTGGCGAGATGGCTCAATCTTCTACCCAAGGAAAAGTGGACAGGGAGAGAACAAGATCCACAAAATCATTCCCTGATCTCCACACAAGTGCTTTCCACTACCCCATGAGAACATTTTAAATGAGCTTAATTGTGAAAAAAATGTTTCAAGGGGAAATCTACAAAGTTTTAGTTTATTGGTATGATTATCGTTAAATCTGTACAGAATTTTAGGAAAGGTACTTCGTGCACGGTGAATCAAATATAACAACTGCATTGTGTTGCCATTAGCAAGAATTACAAACTAGATCTAGGAATGAAAGAACAGGAGATCAATTCTGTATCTTTTGAGCAATTTCCTGACTATTGCTAAACCCAGTGTTTGTATTCTTGGGTTTTCTAGCAAGTTAGACAAATTTATAAAGACATACTTGTTTATTTTTGTCACGTTATAGTGTAAAAAAAAAACAAAACCACACACACATAAGATAAAACTAGGTCATCTGGATAGTGGTGGCGGATGCCTTTAATCCCAGCACTCCAGAGGTAGAGGCTGGTGGATCTCTAAATTCGAGGCCAGCCTGGGCTACAGAGGGAGTTCAGGACAGCCAGGGTTGTTTCACAGAGAAGCCCTGTCTCAAAAAAAAAAAAAAAAGCATGACTCCTCTGGTAAATTCCTCAGGATGTTTGTGTAGGTATGCCCCTAAATGCTAATAGATTTTAAGTATCTTGGTGCTCTTGGGTGCTGATGTTTTCCTGCTTGGATCCTTCATTTGGGGGATGGTTTCAGTAGTGACTAGGCGTTTGAGGGGTTTGTTTGTTTGTTTGGTTTTGTTTTGATTTGATTTGGTTCATTTTAACTATTTAAGAAGCACCTGTGCACACTTACCGTGCTAGCACTGGGGGAGGCAGCGTCCGGAGGATCACAGCAAGTTAAAGGCTAGACTGGGCTACTATCTCAAAATTTGTAAAGACTAAATAGCACTGTTGTAGAAATGAAATGATTGAGCATACTGTGTTAGGTTATTGTGGTGTCCCATAGGGCTTGTAATTAACTATTTCGATGTTTTAAACACCTAGTTTCACTCCGTTAACAAGCCTGCTTATGTGCTGAGAAAACATTCAGGAGTGTTTTCAGAAAGGAAAAACTTTGATATTTTTTTTTTGTCTTTTGAGATGGTTTTCCCAGGTTGACACTGAATGCATGTTAATCCGCCTATTTCAACTTCCTGGGTGCTGCTAGTCAGCTCATCATGGACACCTCATGCCTCTCCAAAGTAAATTTAACCAGCTACCAGTGAAGATTCTAGATTGAAACCCGGGAAGGAAGAAATTTTTTTCTCCCGTTTACAGAATAAAACCACCATTTTGGACTCTTAAAGTGATATTATTAGACTTGTTTTGAGTGGTCAGGAAAAATTACATGTAATAATTATGGGGAAAATCTTGTCCTTTTTAGTTTATTCATGATCTCCATGACTAAAACTTTTCATTTTGCAGCTAACTTTATCCTTGGGACAACTTTAAATTGCCATTGAGAAAGGGATGTCTTAGAGCTGCAGTTTTAATAGGTTTACTCTGCTGCACTAATTAAGACCTATCATTTAGTGAGGTGGGGTGGTGCACACCTATAAACCCAGTACTTGGGATGTAGACGCTGAAGGATTGGGTATTCAGGGTCTTTATTGGCTACAAAGTGAATTGGAGGCTACCCTGGGCTATATGTGACCCTGTCTTGAGTGTTTTGTTTTTGTTTTGTTTTTCTTTCTTGCTATCACACTTCATTCTTAGTTGCTCTTTATTGCTGTGTTAAGTCATCATGACCAAGGCCACTTACAGAAGAGTTTATTGAGATTTACAGTTTAAGAGGATGAGTCCATAACCATACTGGTAGGAAGACTGCAGCAGACATGGCACTGAAGTAGCAGTAAGAGGCCCAGTTAGATCTACAACAAGCACAAGGCAGAGTGCGAAATGGGAATGGCATTGGCTTTTGAAACCTCCAAGCATCACTCCCAACCCCAACCCCAACCCCCCACCTCCTCCAATCCTCAAACAGTTCACCACCTGGGACCTTCCATTCAAATACGTGATCCTATGGAGCCATTCTCATTGAAACCACCACTACTAATACTTCCTCTGTTCTCTGTTGCTGTCTAGAGTTTTCTAGTTACTTGTCACTGTGTGGTGATTAAAATGAGTGGCAATTCTGGTAAACATGGTCTTGTAGGATCCTGGAAATACAACTGGAAAAGGATAAGGTTATTTCTCAGGTGGTTTTTGTTGTTGTTGTTATTCAATTCTGTCATACTGGTGAAGGGTATTGGGTTACAAATGTAAATCAGTGGAGCAAAGCTTTTGTTTTATTATCTATCGACTTTCCAGAAGATGCCTACCCTGGGTCACAGAAGTTTAAAAGGGGTGTTGTTGGGGTTTTTTGTTTTATTTAAAAATAAAAAATTGTGTCAGATGAATAAACAATTTGGCCTTAAAATGTACTCAAGGTTTTTTTTAAATTTTCTTAATTTCTCTTTTGTTTTAGCAAAAAATGGGAAAGAAACAGAATGGAAAGAGTAAAAAAGTTGAAGAGGCAGAGCCTGAAGAATTTGTGGTAGAAAAAGTACTGGACCGGCGTGTAGTGAATGGGAAGGTGGAGTATTTCCTCAAGTGGAAAGGGTTCACAGAGTAAGAAACTTCTTATGGTTTTGTTTTAAGTCAGGGTGTCTTATATAGCACAGATTATACTTCCAAGTGCTGGGATTAGAGGAGTTCAACATGCCTCATTTATGTATTTACTTATTTTTTTGTTCTGTTGAGACAGGTTCTTGTGAATCCTAAACTACTCTTGAGCTTGCTATATGGCCAAGAATAACCTTAAACTCTGATCTTTCTGATTCTACCTCCCCAGTGCAGACATGCACCACCACACCTGGTTTATATGAGCCTAAAGATTGAACCCAGGATTTTCATGCATGCTCGGCCAGCACTCTTTATCAACAATATCCCTGGTCCTCAACTTTAGTATCTGTAATTGTACTTAGAATATTCTTAAATTTTACTTTTAGCTTAAATATTTTACCAGTTTGCCCAAAGATTTGTTAGAAGTCAGTTTTAGTTCCAGAATTATCTTGTTTCAGGTTCATTTAAGGCTTTAGGGGTCTGAAGAGATGACTCTGGTTCTTACCGAGGATCAGGGTTCAATTCCTAGCACCCACATGGTAGCTCATAGTTATCCATAGCTCAAGTTCCAGGGTATCCAGTGCCATCTTCTGACATCTTCAAGCACCAGGCACACACATGGTGCACATGCATACATAAGTGCAGGGAAAAGACACTCATACACACAAAAAAATAAATTAAAAAACTCAGAGCTTTAGCAGTGGTTGAAACTAGCATATTAGAGTTTAATTTATTGCTATAGAGTCAAACTTAGAAAATTAAAGCTCACTAAAGCAATTTTGAAGCTAGCATGCAAAGGACTAAATGCCGTGGCATTTTAAAGCAAAGCATGTTATAGTGGATTCCCGTTCCCTTATCTCCCACTTCCTACCGCAATCTCTCTGCATCTTTCATGTCCCAGTGTGTTCTTTCGCTAAAGCATTTTGATGTTTTATTAAATATTGTACTAATTTGAATACCTATGACCGAGAGCCTAAATTTTACAGTATAATGTATTTACAATGTAGAAGACAATACTGAAAGTAACACTAAATTTGAGGTATTAGCCCTCCTCCCAAAATTAAGCTTTCCCAATGTTACAGTCTGAAGATATCAGCAGACCAAATTATTGAGTACCAAGTGTTACTGGCACCAAATATCTCTGAAATTACTCATTCCATCTAGTTCTATAAAGATACCTGTGGCTGGGGCACAAAATAGTCTGCATTGGTATAAGGTGACCATACTTCTATATTTGTGAGGTGATGCTCATTTTCTTCACGACTCGACTGCAAAACACATGGGAATGATTGCTTCAGCCTTGTGCTGAGGCAGGAGTTGGCAGTCTCTTCCCCAAAGCATCTATATGTGGCTGTTTTAGGCTTTGTGGGCCATTGATTTGTCTACATGAGCAGCATAAAAGCAGCAGTAGCTAATGTATTAAATGGGCACGACTATTCCAGTGACAGCTTATGAACCCTGCCTAAAATTAATTTATTTTCATTTCCTCCCTACCTTAAAAAGTTTTTTTAAGGGAAAAAAATTTGAACTGGGCATGGTGGTACAGTACTATAGATAATTCCAGCACTGTGAAAGCTTAGGAGTTGGAGGCCAACCTGGGCTACATGGTGATGCTATATCTTTTTCAAGGGGGCAAGGTTGATGCTTTGCAGACCATGCAACAGGCTAGATTTGGCTTTTTTTTTTCTCCCCAGCCCTTGCTTTATATCATTTCCAAAATTGAGAACCCACCAAAACTTGAAAACATTTCACATATGAGAATATATCAGAATCTTTATTTCCAGACATCATTGGAGATCCCAAACCTAGGCATAATATGTAAGGAATTAGGAATCGCTATTTTTAAAAATCCTTCTATGGTTCCAGCATTGAGAGTTCTTCACAGCCAGCTTGTGGTACATATGACACTGTCCCCCACTTTTAAAAAAAAAATTTTTTTGAAAACTCAAAGGATTGGAATGTAGTATAGCTTAATTGGTACAGTGCTTGCCTGGCATTCACAAAGCTTTGAGTTTGATCCCCAGCACCAGATAAACTGGGTGTGATGGAGACTGCCTTTTATTCCAGGACCTGGGAAGGGGACAGGAGAATGAGGACTGGGTTACAGAAAAAGTTGGAGGCCACCTAGGGTTACATGAAGGGAACTGTATAGGAACCAGAAAGATACTACTATTGACTGCCCTTAGAGTCAGGTTCAACTGCCTTGGTGTTAAAAACCAGATTGCTCACTTAGGCATGTGAAGAGGGGCATGAAAGGAACTAGACATTTTTAAATAATATAAGGAATAGAATATTTCTATTATTATTCTACCAGTATTAGTGTTTGTCATATGGGAACTTTTTTTCCCTGATAGTTATAAACCGGTCCAGGTAATGGCAATGTTTAATTGAATCAACCTTTTGTTTTCTTTAACTGAACACAGTGCTGATAATACTTGGGAACCAGAAGAAAATTTAGATTGTCCAGAATTAATTGAAGCATTTCTTAATTCTCAAAAAGCTGGTAAAGAAAAAGATGGTACAAAAAGGAAATCTTTATCTGACAGTGAATCTGATGATAGCAAATCGAAGAAGAAAAGAGATGCTGTAAGTATAAAGTCCTGCCTGTTAGACTGGGTCTGTATAACAAAAGTTAATAGTCTGAATTTCCATTACTTTGAACATTCCTCCGCCTCCCCAGCTAGGATACTTTTTATTTAGTCCATATTTTGTTCTTTAGCTTCCAAAGTGATGGGTTTTGTTGTGTTTTTTTGTTTGGGGCTTTCTTTGTTGTTTTGTTTGTTTCGGGTTTGTTGGTTGGTTGGTTGGGGTTTTTTTGTTTGTTTGTATTTTGTTTTTTTCAAGATAGGGTTTCTCTGTGTAGTTTTGGAGCCTGTCCTGGATCTCGCTCTGTAGACTGTGCCGGCCTTGAACTCAAAGAGTGCTGGGATTAAAGGCATACACCACTGCTGCCCAGCTTGTTTTTGTATTTTCGTGCATATTTATCATTATACGTTGTTCTAACTCATCTCTATCCCTTCCCTTTTTGGTTAGTTTCCTTTTGAGGGTTGGGTTGAGGCAAGGTCTCATGTAGCAGAGAATGGCCTTGAACCACTCACTCATCATGTTACCTCTGGCATCCTGATACTGGATTCACAGGTGTTCACCACAGTGCCTACTTTAGAAAACGAGACAGGTTAGGGGTTTTGGAGACAGGGCTTTACCGTGTAACCCTTTCTGGCTTCAAAGTCACAGAAATCTGCCTGCTTTTGCCTCCTGAGTGCTGTAATTAAAGGCATTACCACCATGCCCAGCTAAAACTAGAATGCTTCTTTTTTTTTTTTTCCCTTCCACGTGTATGGTATTTTGCCTGCCTGTGTGCGTGCCTGTGCGCACCCACCACATGCATTCTTGGTGTTCCAGAAGCCAGAAGAGGGTATTAAAACCCTTGGAACTGAAATGCAAGCAGTTATGAGCAACCATGTAGTTATGAGCAATTGAACTCAGAAATGCCTCTAACTGTTCAGCCCTAGAATACTTTTTAAACTCCAATTGAAACTTTTTATAGAGCCATTCGTGATGGATAAATAAGGTAATCTGTACCTTTGCCTTTAAAAACATTGAATTTACCTTGTCTATTGGCCTACTGTGATAATTGAAGGAAAAGTCTTGGTGCTGAATTAGTCACCAACTCCAAGCATGCAGCACACATTAAATTAGTAAAGGACTAATGGGCTTCAAATGTGGTCATTTGGATAAGTATCAAGAATTTTGCATATGTAGGTCATTAATCTTAATACCAACCCTGTTAAGTCTAGATAATGACCCAATTTATAGATAAGAAAACAAGATGATTACAGATGAAGATCTGAAGATAAAGCATATATGTAAGGGAAGCAGAACTTTGGTAGTAATACCTAAGCTATATTGAGCCAGCAGTGTTTTAAACAGTTTAATTCATATTGATGCACTCCCAAAGAATAAGTTATTGATATCATTAGTTCTCAAATACACTCCAAATTATGTAGGCTATAACTGCCAACATTTTTGTTTTGTTTTAGAAATTGGGGTGGGGGCCTGGCTTTAGTCTCCTAGTGCAGGGGAAGCAAAGACAGATGGATCTCTCAAGTTCCCAGACTAGCCTGGTCTATATAGTGAGACCCTGTGAGGGGACAGACAGTTTTAGGCTGGAGAACTATTCAGTACTTAAGAGCATTTGCTGTTCTTTTAGAGGACCCATTTGGTGATTCCTAACAGTCTGTAACTCCAATTCCAGTGGGTCTTTGACCTCCACAGCACCAGACACACACATAGTACACAGTCATCCATGCAGGTAATACCCTCAAGTGCATAAATAAAGCTTTTTCTTTTCCTAAAGAAAACAGTTTTAAAGTACTAGTAATTAAAGAGCACAAACTACTCTGGTAGAAACCCTCAAGTTCAGTTCCTAGCACCTATGTGGATACTCAAAATTGCCTGTAACTCTAGCTCCAGAGGATCCAAAACCCTTTCTGGCCTCCAAGAGCACCCATACTTACACAGAAAAATACACATAATTTTTAAAAATAACAATACCAAAAGAAAAACAAGTAATGGTTTAAGGCCAGAACTGATTGGAAACTGGGCAAGGTGACATTCACCTATAATCCCAACACTTGAGAGGTAAATTCAAGGTCATCGGCTATACATAGCAAACCTTGCCTACATTAAGGCCTTAGCTTAAAAAAAAATTACAAGTATGCATATAAATAAAACCTATTGGGTGTTAAACATGTTGTGAAAAAGAGGAGTCTTCTGTGTCTAAGAAAGACAGAGCTGCCCATGATGGTTCATACCTACAATCCTAACACCTGAGAGACTAAGATAAAAGAATTACTTCAAGACAGGCTTCAGAGACCTGTCTCCAAAATAAGGAGATGGTCTCATATGGCCCAGGCTGGCCTTTAATCCCTTATTATCCAGCTTCCATCTAAGTGGTAGATCAATCTTGGGGCTTTATGCCACCACTCTTGGCTTGCTGTGATATATTTAAAAGAACTGTGTAAAGATAATCTAAATCAGTTAAGTCAAAATAGGAGACCTTACAGATTTTTGTGTGTGTGTGTGTCTTTAAAATAAGCAAATAGTTTAGACTTAATTCCTATAGAAGTAAATTCATTGTGTTGTTTGGGATTGGCTTGGTAACTAATTTGTTTTGTTTTTTGAGGCAGGATTTGTACATATCCCTGGCTGTCTGTCCTAGAACTTACTCTGTAGACCAGGGCTGGCCTCAACTCAGAGATCTGACTACTTCTGCCTTCCAAGTGCTGGGATTAAAGGTTTACATCATAACACCCAGCAATAGTGACTAACATTACATTAGAAATGTTAATATTGGAAGGAGGTCCAAGTATATATGTGTGCAGCTACTACAGAAGTTAGAAGAGAGTCATGTCCCTGGAACTGAAGGTAGACACAATTGTGAGCCATCAAGTGGGTGCTGGGAACTGAGCCCAGGTTCTCTCCATAATCAAGTGCTCTGAACCATTCAGCCATCTCTCCAGCCCCTTAGGGTCTTCTCATAAGTATATATTTTAGGCCACGGTCTTGCTATGTAGCCCAGGGTGCACTTAAAACCTCTGATCTTCCTGAGTACTGAGATTATAGGCTTTTGCTGCTAAAAGTGGCTACATATTTATTTACTTGTTTTTGTTTTTCATTGGAGGGATGGTTCTTGGTCAAGTTTGACTAAATAGCCCAGGCCAGCCTTGAACTTACTATGCCTCTACCCTCTATAAAGTGCTAGGTTTATAGACATTGGAAATTTAATTTCAAGACTATATAATTTCTCAGTATGTTGTTGCATACTTGTAGTTATAGCAGTCAAGAAATTGAAGCAGGAAGATTGAGAGTTTAGAGCTAATTTAGGCTACATAGTAAGACTTTTTAATTTTATCTTATTTTTTTTTTAAATAAGAAAAGGTCTTGTGTAGCCCAGGCTTGTCTTAACTCCTGATCCTCCTGCCTCCAGCTATCAAGTGCAGGACCAAGCCCAGGATTTCTTGCATACGAGGCAACACTGCCAGTTAAACTACAACTACATCCTATCTAACTTGGGTTCTTTTTGATTGTTTTTCTTTTTCTTTGTAGCCTGTAACTTGGGTTCTTACTCTAGTTGTTCCTCTCTCACTGTTGGGAGTTGGTGAAAGTTGTATTACATAAAGAATTCTTAATTTTATTTGTTGTATGAAAATATTTATGCAGGCTGTTACTTAACCCTCTAAACAGGCTGACAAACCAAGGGGTTTTGCCAGAGGTCTGGATCCTGAACGAATAATCGGTGCCACAGACAGCAGTGGCGAGTTAATGTTTCTCATGAAATGGTACGTGCTCGAGCAGTTGTTTTCATGTGTTTCCTTACTGTGTGTGTGCATGCATAATGGCGAGGGCAGGATATGTGTCACAGTACATGTTAGAAGACAACTTGAAGAAGTCCATTCTCCACCTGGATGTGGATTCATGAGTTCAAATTTAGATGGCCAGGCTTGTGTGCCAAGCATCTTCACCTGCTGAGTCATCTTACAGTTTAAAGAGAAAAGGTTAGAAAGATACATTGGTTAGTTTTTGTGGGGGGTGGGGGGTATGGGGAGGGAGGAGGTTAAGTGGGGTCTCATTGTGTACCCTGGCTGGTATGGAATTCTCTATGTAGTCCAAGCTGCCCTTAACTCACAAAGTTCCACCTGACTCCAAGAGAATTAGGCCTGAGGGGGAGAGGGTGTTGATTCTCTGTTATACACAAGGTTTCTTCCTTGTTTCTTTCTTTTTAAGATGGGATTTCTCTGTGTAACAGCCCTGACTGTCCTGGAACTTACTTTGTGGTCCAGGCTGACATTGAACTCACAGAGATCCCCCTGCCTCCCGAGTGCTGGGATTGAAGGCGTGCAGCACCACTGCCCAGCTATACACACAAGGTTTCTTAAGTAGTTCCTAAGATAAAGATGGGAAGTACCTAGCTGAGCATGGTGCCTGTAGTCCCAGCACTCAAGAGCCTGAGGTGGGATTGCCACAAGTAAGTGAAGGTTAAGAACGAGCAAATGCATAGCCTCAGGAGGAATGAAGTTCACTGAGATGTAACCACACTGCCATGCAACCCTGCTAGCACTTATATTCCGATGACAGGCACAGTTCATATGTTTAACCTGTTTTTTCCCTCACAACAGGAAGGACTCAGATGAGGCAGACTTGGTGCTGGCAAAGGAGGCAAATATGAAGTGTCCTCAGATTGTCATCGCCTTTTATGAGGAGAGGCTGACTTGGCATTCTTGTCCAGAAGATGAGGCGCAATAATTGTTTGCATTTTTATATATATTTATATATATATAAAATCTGGATCTTTGGTTTTGAATTACTAGTGTGGAAAAAATAGCGTTCTAATGAAAATCGAGTTTGATATGCTGGTTTTGAAGTATTGACAGTAGTTGGGATATTTTCGGTTTTTGTTCTGCATCAAAAGGCACTGATTCCTTTGAGCAAATGAAAGCTTTCTGTAGTTGCTTCTTTAACAGTAGAATATTTGATACCACGTTGTATTTCCTCGGCTTTGAAGAACAGCTTTTCTTAAATGCTGAGGAGATTTTACAGTCATTACTCAATCAGAACTTATTTTTAACTGGGACACAGAAGGACCATTCTGGGTTTTTTGTTTGTATGCGTGTATATGCATAAAACACTTGCGTAACTGTTCTTCATTTTGTCTTGTTTTTTAATGCTCAAAAACTGTAGATGAAAACGTGTTGATAAGATTCCATCACTGTGAACATTTTCCTAAAACCATAACCTTTCAGATTAAGTAGATGATTCTGTAATTTATTGGATAGTTTTAAAGCAACCACATCAGAATTTATGTATTACCACATAAATACAGTAGTTTATTTACAAAAGTTTGTCCTTACACACTTCCCCTTCAGAAAATGGAATTAGACAAGTAGTAGTATGATTTAATAACAAGACTTAAGCTGGGTGTGGTGGTGCATGCCTTTAATCCAAGCATGAAGGCAGATGGACCTCTGATTTAGACTAGATCAGCCAAGGCTACACAGAGAATCCCTGTTTCTAAAAACCAAACAAAGACTTAAATGGGCGTGTAAAGGTTCCTCTAGTGAACCATACCTTTATAGAAAGTTGAAATCTACTAAAAGGTTATGATTTGTGGAATATCTGTTTGCTGTGGAAATGGGGTCATGGTTAGAGATGATGTTGGCAATTTCAGACCCGCTGACATAAATGAACAAAATTTGGTAATATAAGTTAATGACTTGCATGCTTTTTCTGTACCCTGACTCATTCCTTACTGGTAGGATCAATCTTTTCAGTATTTGGGTTCTGGTTCAATGATCCAGAAAAGTAACTTTGTAGTATCAGAATGTCATCCAACTGTATATTTACTTTATTGTAAATAATGGTGAACAGTGGTCAATAAATAGTTTTATATTCCTTTATGTGATGACTTCTTTGTCATTGATTTGCTCTGTAACGAGGGTGGAAACACCTAATCACAGAGTTCATCCTGTATTGTTTTTGAGACAGGGCCTCTTTGTACTTCAGGCTCTCCTTAAACAGTCATCCTCTCTTAGCCTCCCAAGTACTTCTGGTTTTTTATTTTGAAATAACCTAACCTATCCCAGGTTAGGCTAAAACTTCAGTGTTCCTGCTTCTACCTCATGAGTGCTGGGATCACAGACATATCACCACAAATCTTAATTATACACATGTGTATTTATTTGCAGTCAATATGGGCTGGGTAGTCACAACATTGACCATCTGCACAATGGAGAGGCTAACAGTCCTTTAACTTCATGAAACTGGAAGCCTGAGCTCTGTCATCCCAGCCTGGTGCTGAAGGGAGTCAAGTACATGTTGGAAGGCCCAAGAAGCTAGAGTGTGGAGGGTAGCTGCAGGGATAGACTGACTAATCATGAAGCAAAGGTGGGCATGCAATACTGCTTTTTAATTACAGGAACTGGGGACAGTAAGTGCCGGTTCCTTTGAGGCCTTATATCCCCTGGAGTTATAGGCAGTTATGAGCTGCCTGGAGTAGATGCTAGGAACTGAACTCAGGTTCTCTGCAGGAACAGAAAGTTGCTCACTGCTGATCTGTATCTTCAGCCTGCCTTGGACTGCTTTATATCTGGGTCACTGTTGGAAAGGCTGCACACTCTAGGGAGAGTCTTCACCCTCATTTAAGCAAATACCCACAGAAACACACACAGAATTGTATGTATTGATTCCATTCCATTAAGTTGACCTTTAACCTTTATACCTCTTCATTTTTTTTTTTTCAGTCGTAACTAGACAGTGCTTGTTCAAACTGTCAGGAAGTAGGTTTTAATGATTTTTTTTTTCCTTTTCTGACACAACACCTCAATTTTGTTTTGTCTCAAACATACCACTCAGTTTGTTAGCCAAAAGGCTTACAATAGGCATTATTGGGGTGGTTGTATGCATATGTACCATTTGTGTATGCGTGTTAGGTTTAGAATAGTAGCCTAACAGGACTCCTCCATGGTATGGTTAAGGGGAAGATTTTTATTGTAGATAAAGAGAACAGCCAGAGGCATCTGGAAGAGTCCAGGGAAGACTGACCATGGCCAGAAGACAACCTGGTCTTAGGAGGGAAGAAGAGCAGAGAATAGAGAAAATAGAGCCGGAATAGCAGGGCTATTAGGAAAACCAGCAGCTGGGGAAGGGAAGCCTGAGAGCTTAAGGTAGGAAGTGAGAAGGACCAGGATGTGTGACAGGTACTTGAGATACCAGAGGAGCTTGGAGGCCAGCCTGCACTTTATATGCTGATAGACACTGCAGGTAGCCGTTTGTCCCTTCTGCCAGAGGTAAGGAAAAGGACACCTTTGGTAGAGAGGAACTGGCTTCACAAGTTCCTGAGCATTGCTGGCTGTTACCTAACGGCCAGAAATCCACCAGAGTCCAGCTTGAGCCCATTTCTAGATATTTGGTCTGCTTTTGTGAGTTTGAGGAATTGGAGTTTTCTTGGGACCTGATTACATGCATCATCATGTCTAGCTAAACGTATTTTTAAAAAGAAAATAATTTAGTTCCAAGTATGACCGTACCTGATCTCAAGTTATATTACAGAGTCAATGCAACAAAAGCAGCATGGTACGAAAACAGAACTGTGGGTAAATGGAACAGAAGCTCCAGATACAAATCTGTGCAGCTGAAACCCCCTGGTGTCTGACAAGGACACCAGAATCCTGGAGAAGGTTAGAATCCAGACACTCCAGGTGCAGTCTCTCCCGTCCCAGCTGCTGCAGACTGCGGACAAGGCCATGAACAGCTGCAGTCTACCCCCCCCCCCACACACACACACACACAAATATCCAAGTACTTATCTACCCCACCCCCGTTCCTGGGAATGGTCCCTTTCAGATAGTAAAGCCATGAACAGAAGAGCTACAGGCAGGACAAACGACCTGTCATATCACATACTAACTAGGCCTATTTTTCCTGAAGCTCCTTCTCCTGAAATGTACTTGAGACCTTCAAACACTTGCCTCAGCCAGAAATACAGAAGACAAAATGTCTTAGCCTAGTTAGATGATGTCACCCAACCTTGCCCCATTTTCTGAGGCACAACACCTGCCCTCTCAGGTTAAAAAAAACAGGTTCTGTTATCCTAGGCAGGCTGAAGCTTTTTGCTTCTGAATGCACAACTATGTCTGAACCTTTCCCTGAAGAAAATCCAACTTCATGTTTCTCTGGGACCATGTTTCTTCCTAAACACCTAACGGAGAAAAGACAGCCTCTTTTAACAGACAGTTCTGAGAAAGAAAAAAAAAATGGATGTCAGCCAGGTGGTGGTGCATGCCTTTAATCCCAGCACTTGGGAGGCAGAGGCCAGCCTGGTCTGCAGAGCGAGTTCCAGGACAGGCTCCAAAGCTACAAAGAGAAACCCTGTCTCAAGAAGAAAAAAAAAAAAACCACTGGATACCAGCTGCCATTCTGGTTTGCTTTCTGTTGCTGTGACAAACTCCATTGACCCAAAGCTGCTTAGGAGAGGAAAAGGTTTATTTCAGTTTACAGGTCAGAGCCCATCACTGAGGGAAGTCAGGACAGGAACTTAAGCAGGAGCTGATGCAGAAACCATGGAGGACTGCTATTTGTTTGTTCTGTTTTGTTTTTCGAGACAGGGTTTCTCTGTGTAGCTCTTGCCGTCCTGGATCTCAGTCTGTAACCCAGGTTGGCCTCAAACTCATAAAGATCCTCCAGCCTCTGCCTCCCAAGTAGTGCTAGGATTAAAGGCGGGCGCCACCACCGCCCAGTGAGGAGTGCTGTTTACTGGTTCATGCTTAGCTATCTCAGGCTCCTCTACAACCTGAGCCACCTGCCTAGTGATGGGACCATCACAGTGGCCTGGGCCTACCTACATCAGTTAGCGATCATGACAGAGTCCTGCAGACTTGCCCACGGGCCAACCTGGTCCAGGCAATAGTCGACTGTGATTCCTTCTCAGGTCATTCTAGCTTATGCCAAGTTGACAAGAAAAGCTAACCAGCACACTAAGAACAGAAGAGTGACATGAGGTCTTTATCTGGTTCTACACAAAACTAAACGAAATAGAAGACCGAGATGTAAACCCCGAACCCTCTGAAACTTCTAGAAGTGGAGGAAACACTTCAAGATGTAGGGGCAGGAGGAAAGGAGATGAACCTCGTAGAGTTAAAATGCTCTCCTAGCAAAGGAGACCATTAACCTCGCAAAGAGACTTCAGAGTGGAAATCTGCCAGTAATAGCTGACTAAGGATCCATGTCTAGAATATACAAAGAACTTGAAAACTAAACTAAGCAAGTAACTCAATTAAGAAAAAAAAAATTAGCCAGGAGGTGGTGGCACACGCCTTTAATCCCAGCACTTGGGAGGCAGAGGCAGGCGGATCTCTGTGAGTTTGAGGCCAGCCTGGACTACAGAGTGTTCCAGGAAAGGCACAAAACTACACAGAGAAACCCTGTCTCAAAACAAACAAACAAACAAACAAAAAACCCACAGAGTTTATAAAAGAAGATATACAGCTGGGGGGAGGGGTGGACACTTTTAATCCCAGCACTCAGGAGGCAGAGCCAGGTGGATCTCTGTGAGTTCAAGGCCAGCCTGGTCTACAGAGCGAGATCCAGGACAGCAAGAGCTACACAGAGAAACCCTGTCTCTGAAAAACCAAAACAAAACAGAAAGGAGGGGGGAGGAAGAAAAAATACAAATAGCCAATAAATATTTTGGGGTTATTGTTTGGTTGGGGCTTTTTTTGGTTGTGGGGGGGTTGGTTTTTGAGACAGTCTCACTATGTAGCCTGGGCTGTTCTGGAACTCACTGTGTGGACCAGGCTGACTTAGCTCACAGAGATCTTCTGCCTATGAAGTGCTGGGATTAAAAGCATATGTCACCATGGCCAGGCAATGAATAGTTTTTAAAATGTTCAACATCCCTATCGATCGGGAAAATGCAAATTAAAAATACTATGAGATTCTATCTCACCCCAGTCAGACTGGCTACCATCAACAAAACAAAGAAAGCCTTTTGTGATATTTTGTTTGTGTTCTGACAAATAAAGCTTGCCTGGAGATCAGAGACCAGAGCTAGCCACTAGTTAGCCATAGAGGCCAGGCATTGGTGGCACACAACTTTAACCTAAGCACTTGGGAAGAGGAAGCAGGAAAATCAGCAGTTTAAGGCCACCCTGGGCTGCACAAGTTTGAACCAGACTAAGAAACAGAGCTGGGCAGTGGTGACTCACGCCTCTAATCCCAGCACTAGGGAGGTGGAGACATGATCTTCTCCCCCCCCCCACCCCCCTTTCCGTCTGAGGATTTGTAGAGACAATCCCTCCCATTCAGTCTGAGATTTCGTAGAGATAAGAAGTCTCTAGTGGCTGCTGCCCTGCTGTTCTCTGATCTGTCAGCTTTCACCTTCAATATCTGACTCCAGGCTTTTATTGATAAGACTAATTAGGGTAAGTTTCAAAAGCCATATGTGGTAATGCACGCCTTTAGTCCCATCACTCTGAAGTCAGAGGCAGGTAGAGATCAGAGTTAGCCTGGTCTACATAGTAAGTTTCAGGCCAAAATAATATATATTTATGACTTTACTATTTGTATTTATTATATATAAGATATATTATGAACAATTGGTTGGGTTTTTTTTTTCTTTTTTTCTTTTTGAGACAGGGTTTCTCTGTGTAGCTTTGGAACCTTTCCTTGAACTCGCTCTGTAGACCAGGCTGGCCTTGAACTCAGAGATCCACCAGCCTCTGCCTCCCAAGTGCTGGGATTAAAGGTGTGCACCACCACTGCCCGGTTTATGAGCAATTATTATTGGTGGCCAAGGTCCAGGTCAAGTCTTTCCAGGTACTTTTTATTTTTTTATTTTTTTTATTTATTTTATTTATTTATTTATTTATTTATTTATTTTTGTTTTTTCAAGACAGGGTTT